AGTGTAATTTGTATTTTTTTTCCATTGCGATGCGCGTTAAGGACATGATAGATTTCATTTTAATCGACGAGTTACGTGTATAAAAGTACATAGATGTAGCGTTAATCAAATGTTCACGATGCTGTGGTATCTTTAATTTTTGCAGAAAATAAATATGTACGTTCGTAAAAAGAGGACGATTTAGCTAAAGTATCTAACAATTTTACTGCATACAGATCTGAAAATAATTTCATTAAACTATCAAAATAATTATATAAGACGGTGAGAAGCTGATTGTTAAAATATTGAATTGCTCATCACGTTGTGCTCATTACACGTTTGAGTTTTCTACATAATCATTTTGATGACCAAACAAAATTATTTTTAGATTCGTAAATAATTTCTATCTAAATTTTTAGGTTTAGTTTCGCTGACGTATCCTCCTATATAATTTTGCTCGATCATTAAAATAATTATGTGGGAAACTCAAGTATAATGAGCAATATATACCACAAAAAATTTAAAATTCTAGCAATCAGCTCAGCATCTTACATAATTATTTTGATAGTTCAACAAAATTATTTTCAGACATATTATTAAAATAAAATATATTATGTGTCCTTATAAAAACGTGAGATGAAAAAATACAAATTACATCCGCCGTTGTGATTTATTATCAATATGGCTAAATTTTTTAATATTTTAGCAAAATATTTAAAATATTCCTTCTATGTTATAAGTAATATTTTTTTCTGTAATATATGTATGTAACGCCTCTTCAGTTCTGGTCGCAGAAATTATTCGGCATTATTTCGAAGAAGCGACTGATACAGAAAATTCCTCGTTTATAATCTGATTTATTCTCTCGCGTATGCGAATTGTCTAACAAGCTGCATATATACAAGTGAACGGAGAGAAACGATTGGTCGTATTACAGGTATTCCGTAATAAAAATGGAAATAATTACACACAATCGCTTTTTATTAGGAGTCGTCAAGTTCCTTAACCTCGACGGACCTTTCACTCGTATTCCTTTTTTTTTTATTCGCTTTCGGTACGTTGTCCGGCGAAGCACTTCGATCACGACCGTAATTCGTCCCGCACACGTGGAACCATGCATTCCGATCTCTCAAACGCTATCATAACCACCATGGATTGGACAAACCGGTTTATGAGAGAGTTACAAAATTGAAAATCTTTGTGACTCAATTTTGGTGTCATTTGTATAACAAATTCATGCGGCGACAGTTTCTGTCGCTCGTTCAACGGCCAACGCTTGAAAAGCATTTTAAATTCTAAAGCTGAAAGATCGATCATTCCGTCTTTAAACCTCAGTTTTTTTTTTTTTTTTTGTAGTTTATCACATATTGTCTTTTCTTTTACGACCCAAAGAAGGTCAGATAAGTTTACAGCGAAAACCAATATTGTTATACCTTCTCGATATTCCAACATTACACAAAAATATGTAATATTTATACAATATTTATTTTATTACATATAATACTTATATATAATATTGAGCTACATAGCTTTAAATCCGTGTTTCGCATTTTTCTTAGAATGACAAGAGTAGTCAGCTGTAATGACGTGAAACAAAATGTCATTTCTAACATCTAGACAAAAATACATACGCTAATAAATACACGCACATACAATACTCGCCCATCCATACACGCAATGTCATACATCTGGCGCGTCCTAGATAGATTAAGAGCAACCTGTTGCTCGTGTATGAGGACATTTAATGTCCGTCGTATTAGATACGTGCAGCATGTAGAAAGAAAAGACAGATGTACGTCACCGTACAAGATTGCTTATTATTGATCGAGAAGTTTCCTCTCTTCAAATATGTCTCACGCATCTCTTATTAACCTCCTGGAAACGCACCGCGCATCAACGTTCGCGGATCAAGACGACTCATTCATAAAGCGACCAAGGCGGATCTTTCAAAGAATATATATCTACATTAGCGCATGCCGAGAGCATTTGCGAGATAAACGGAAACATCTTCTAGACTTACGACGAGCCGGAATGTGCAACATGTGCATCACGTTGCGCGATCACGACGCTCAACTCGTATATACCTACATCCGTCTAAACCGTAGATTTTATCTTCTTCACGTGAAGACGATTCGCGCTGCTCGCGGCATGCAAATATCGCGGGTGCCCTTGCGGCGTATCGCGCGGCTGCATCTGAATTTTCTCACAAAGATTCGGTATAATAATCTCTGGCGAAAAATGTGAACCGCGTTCTGCATTGCAAGTCCTATACACGACATTGGCATATATATTCATCGCGATTGTATACGAAGGCATATGTAACGCCTTTGGAAGGTCATCGGAATGTTCTCACGAAATAGAAACAAAATTATGCTTTGCCAACATTCTACAAAATTATCTTCCAATCTGTATCTAACTACGTTTCAGGTATTCCAACAAGACTATTCTTTTCGAGGATGACTGAAAGCTAAAAACGATAAAGAAACGTCAATCCTGACCTAACTCAAACTACTTATTGTTAGACAGCAGAGTATCTGAGATATATCTAATAACCGAATGCTGATTCTGAAAAAGAAAAATGTGCATATGTTTTCCAGATATCCTGTCGTATTATTTTTTCTCTTCGGTACTTTTGTCCCTTTTCAAAACTGACAAAGATTAATCTTAGGTAAGGTTAATCTTTGTCAGTTTTGAAAAGGGACGAAAGTACCGAAAAGAAAGGTTAACCTTGGCTAAGGTTAACCTTTATCAGTTCAAATATTCGACCATTCAAATATTCGACCAGTCACAAAAGTTTAAGTTATATTATATAAAAAGTGAGCAGCAATAATCGTTGGAGTTATAGAAGCTATTTATTTCTCAGAAAGGCTACACTGCGTTAAAAATCGTACGATAAATTGAATATTATATAATTAGAGAGAGAGAGAGAGAGAAGAAAAAATAAAGCATTATAGATAAAAATAATTATATACATACGAGAAGTGTTTATTTAAAGAAGTCATATATTAGCCTTTTAGTTTTGAGTTACGATTTTAAATAAGGTTTTCCTCTTTCGACAGCTTCTCGCGTAACTACGTTTGTGGGAAGAAACCTCCGAAAATTATTATCTTCAACATCCGGAAATCCAACATCCGCTGTTATTAATTCACGGACTAATTGGACTCTAGAAACTATATGTAAATGTTATCTGAGTCTTCCTACAATTTTCTCTACGGATACGATAATTCAAAGTAAAAGAAGTGCCGTTACATGATCATTACTGTGGCAGATTCAATTTTGACTATCTCTCCATGCTCATTTGCAATCATCGCAGAATTACGGGTTCTATACGCTCAGTCGCGATACAAGCCCCGTTATAGTGGTACCCGTTTCTGAAACATCCACTATACGGATAATAAGTCGATCGATCGCGACTGCGCTGATTTGATCCATCCGGGTTCGAAAGCAAGAATGACACAGAACAAAGAAAATAAACGGCGGTTTGAAGTCCAAGTGCGCCGACAGGCAGGCACAAAGTTGCCTTCCCGGCAACGTCTCTCTTTATCTCGTCGACTCTCATTTCCCGACCGAGAGAATATAATGGTCGGAGTTCCGGCCGTGACGATTCCAGCTCGCCGACCCGGACTCTCGGGTTTCTCGGTATGCATCCGCATGAAGACAAAAGCCTGCGCGCTGTAAAGAGAGCTCTAAACGTCTCGTTGAAAACCTTCTGGATGAAGGATTTCGCGTGACCCACTCACAGCATGTACGAATTTTATTGGAATGATTATAAATAGTGAACATCCGGTTCACATTATAAATATTTATCGATATAGAAAACTTGTAGAAATCGATGCATTTTATTATAAGCGCTGTGTTTCAACTGTAGCGCACAATATTGGAGAAATATTTAATATTCTGGCGAAAATTAAAAGTAGGAACAAGTCGAATGTAAAAGGAGAGTAAAATAGAGGCATAAATGAAACTTCTAACAATAAGAGAAATATAAATACTTTTTAACATTATATTTCCTTACATTTTACACTTACTGATTTTTTATGTTTACTAGAGTATAAATATTTTGTGCTGATTTTGCAATGTTTGAATACAAAAATTTAACAAAACATAAAAAAAAAAATGATTTCTCACGTGAAGTTAAAGCGAAGCTATTCTTAGATGGAAAGTGTGATGAATACGAAATAAACGCAGATCTTTTATCGAGTCGATATTTTTCGAACGACCGATAAGAGATACGCGAGTAAATGATTCTGTCGAGCTGTAAAACCTAAATGTATCGAACGCGCGATTGTTCGATACTAGGCCACGGCATAATTCCAATCAAAGCCTTAACGACTTAACGATTCGAATTATCGCCGGACCCATTTATCGAGTGCAACGTACGGAGGTATTTACACGTATACCGCTCGCAAAGCGCATATGTTCGACATACGATCGCACGTAACGTACACACATGAATCCTCCGTACGAGGTAGTTAAAAAGACGATCGACTGAGAGCAGTTATGTCATACGTACGTGGCTACGAATGTGACTATGCGACACGAAGCACGCGAGACAGATTATTCTACAATCGTAGTAAATCGCAGCTAAAGTATTATACGTTTATACGTAAATAGGCAATTTGGCAGTGTTATAATACGCGTGTGAACGCACGCAATTGTTGTCCATATAGGTGCACAATATATTACTTCTTGCTGTCCGCTTCGAATAGGCCGCATTTTTGCACGCGAGATAGCGATCTCGTACAGCGCAAACTTTAACAATGCAACGAATCGTCGCATTATTACGAATCACACGCAATTGCAGCAGATTTATCCAATATTTATCTATTAAACTGTATCGTTGGCATCACGTCGATGTTCTCGTAGTAATTCTTTATATAAGTTATATAATTAATAAAGTATTAAAACTTATGTGTGTTACGGTTTGAAATTTTTTTTTCGTCAAAATCAAGACAGTATGGATTTAAACAATTATCCATTTATCTCTCTGTCATTAATATTTTTCTCTTGAAATCATCTGTTTAGAGATAATCACTTAGAGGCTATTTTATTTTTTCGTCCTCGTTTATGGGAGATTTCATATCGTCTCCCCATTGCTTGTTCAGTAATTCCTGCTCCACCTCCAGCGGTAAAATTTTATAACGCGCGTGACGTTTATTCTCCAGATCCTCCGCCAAACTCTGAAGAAGTTCCTTGAATACATAGTTGTCCAGATTTTTCGCTATGTAATAGAGAAACAGCCAGTCGCCGAAGTAATACTCGTGAGTGACCTTGAGTACGTTCCATGGATTGTACTTTCCAGGACATGCCATGGAAAACACGAACTGATTGAATGACGTACTTCTGTAAGTGAAAGAAACCGCAATGAACGTCGCTTACCCGCCGCATCTCAGTCGTGATTCGTCATCATTTTTATATTAAAGAATCCTTATCGCGATACATTAACGTCACTGCTAATTCCTATATATATTTTTGTACATTTCGTCATTTATATATTTTTAAATGGGCATTTTCTTAGATCTCCCTGACGTATATCCGTTGAACTTTGTAAATACTACTGTATTATGATGAAATATAATAATATTATATATTAACATACATTTTACGAAATAATATTATGAATTTTACGTTAAATTCACAGCGTAGTGTGAAATTATAAAATAAATGTTATGTTATTGTTAATTGATGTTTGGATGTCCTGAGAAAACCGTCATGAAATTATTTTTGCATAGAAATTACATTTGCAAATTACGCGTATGATGTATGATACTTATAAATTCGTCAAACGAGAATTCCCAGTAAAGAAACCAGTGAGCGAGTAACACGACGAGAATTTATAAAGCCACGAAACGCAAATGTTGTAGAAAAATATGTAGAGACCAAATTTAACAACCTTGCGTGAAGGACCATAGTCAGTATTCTCCAAACCAATCCCAAACCGGTTAGTATTGCCAGCACGACGAACCAGAACCAAAGGACAGTATAGATCTTTTCGTTAACGATGTTTAGTGCCATTACACACAGCGCGTCGTGCTTTTGTATGGTTCCACTAGGACCGTACTTATGAAAAATGCATTTGGTTACCTAAGAAAGAACATATAATTATATATTCATAAATGCGTTAATTAGATAGAAGATACTGACAATATGATTCAAGTTTAATTTGTAATTAGTAGTTAAAATTAAAATTGATAAAACTGTAAATACAAATAAAAATTAACAATTGAAGAAATTTTGAAAGGATGGAAAAAAGAGAAAGATTTCATTAATTTCTCGATGAACGATGAAGTACTTGATTAATAAAAATTTAAAAAAAGTCGGATCTCAAAACGTAGAAAGATTGCATTATAAAAGATCAATTATAAGACGAATATTAACTCAATGAAGTTACCGTTTAATAACAACTCGATATTAGCAATTTTAACTATAATAATAAATATATATGATATACTGTGTAACAATTATGTGTATATCATGACATAATACATCATGTCAAATATTGTTAAAAACAACGACAATCGACTTTAATAATAATATTGTATAGAATACAAACATAATAAATTCACCATACTAAATTCACCTTTGGGAATACTATATCAAGTGGATTCATTTTATCCTTAGACGGTGGCTCGGAGACCGCCTGTCCAAGACCCAGGAAAGCTCCTCCGAGGAACCAGTCGGTCAAGTAAATTTGCAAGATCACGTTTATGAAATTCAGAATCTCGCAAATAGTCAGACTGTATGCCCACGGACGATTCAAGTGCAGGCGATTTATGAAGCCGATGCGAATCTGTTGTATCTTGTCATCGCGTTCTTTTTTCGACGGTACCTTTATGCTATCGTTTACCTTGATCTCCGTTTCGTTTAAAGACAAAGATGCCATGTGTAATCCTGATACCAGCATACTTAGGCGGCCACCTATAATTAAACAATTATAAAAATTATGAAAATTCATGCACAGTTTTCACAATGCTGCTTATAAGTCTCGCGATGTTTTCATTTCTGAATGTAAATGATAATAAAAGAGTGAGATTTTTTTTAGGTCGAGATTAACTCTGAATTTAAAACGTTTGGCTCAGTCAGTTTGAATATTTAAATAATACAAAATATCCGAGCGTTTTTATTCTGTGGATTACGAACATAATGTATACCTAATTATTCACTGACATTACATAAAAGTAATTTTACGAATAGCGTAATGTTACATTGTAAGTGGGACACGGTATGTAATTGTTATATACGACTAGATCATGACAGTGAGGAAAGATTAATGATGATTAGCTCACTGCTTGAGATAAACGCGGTCGTAAACGTCGCGCGATACGTGGACGAGTACGCGAGATATGAATTGGTAACGACCTTCCGTTTTTCGCCATAGGTAGTGCGGCAAGTAAAAGAGTAGTGCCTGGAAGAACAGGATGAAGGGTACCCATTGATAATAAGCGTGATGTACGACGGGGTCGTCTTTGGCAGCTGGTCCAACGCCAGGATGCGGTAATTCGCCCTGTTGTACCGCGGTAATATTCATATGCTTCACCTGAACAGTTGAAAATCAGTTAATAATAGGGATGTGTCTGCGAGAAATAATGGGTACTTTCCATTTGCTGACATAAGTCGACACAAGTATCGTTTTGGTTTTATTGTTCGAATGCCCAGAAAGATAAAACGACGTTTGTGTCGACTTGTGTTACTTACTAAATGGAAAGCATTCAATTATACTTTAATTAGGTTTCCAACTCTCGTAAACGGAAGAGAAAACTTACTTTAATTGTGCGTAAATTAGCAATACGCGTAGTCGATGAACTCACTTCATCAATAATAAAAAATATCACTATATATTGAAATGATGTAGAATTGGTAAAGTTACACATCATTTAAAAATTAAAAAGAGATTTATAGATTTATAAAACTGAAAGTCAAAGAAAATGAATAAAGGCTGAACAGGTTTTTTTCATGCTAAAAATATATTTATATTAAATACAGATTTAAAAATTAAAAAAAAGTTCTTATCAAATGATAAAATTAAAAATAGATATTATTATATACATATATTTATTGCTCGTTTTATTTTTTAATAACAAATTATATAATGATCAGGACATTATTTATATATTATACATGCATTGTACTATTATTTGTTGACTCTAATTGTAAGACAACATTTGGATTGAATTCATTGATATAGTATATGCTTATGATTACTTTAAAATTGACTTCGATATCATTGTAATATTTATTTTAGTTTTATTATTTGACGAGTATTTAACGCACTGAAAATGACTGCAATAAAAATCGAAACCTTGTCTGTGACTTTGTAATATGATTTTTATTCGTTTATTAACTGGCTTAAATACCCCATTTTATAGGAACAAACACACCGATGTATGACATGCCCTGCTAAAAAATGATTCACTGAAATGATGTTGAGCCGACATCGATAAGACGATTTCGACGTCAATTCGACATATAACTGACGGTCATTTTTTGCTGGAACCACACCCAATTTGATTACATACAACTTTCGTAAAAATTAAGATATTGCACAAAGCTGTTTTTTCAATTAAAACGTATAGATATTAAGTAATATAATGGTGCAATTATATGTATCTTTATTTAAATAAAAAAATTATTATGAAGAAAGTATGGAAAAAAAGGCGGGTATGTAGTATTAAAAAAGCATTTAAGAGTCACTTTTTAATCTATATTTAATATTTATTAGTACAAAAAATCTGCACGGTTCATCAATCTTTATATATATATATATATATCTATTTTCTTTAACATTAATTATTTTCAACAAAATTTTAGACTTACCACGGTGTATGTGGACATGAAAAAACAAAATGTTTCGATGACATGTGATGCAACACCATTATCAGCGATACACCTTTTAAAAATAACACGAGAATTTATCTTAGGAAATGATATTAAACTGCTTAAATCCAACTTAATTATAAACAATTTAATATAATCAAAAGTTGTACGATTATTACACATATACCTTATATGTTCCCCGATAAATTGTCTAGAGGTGACCAGAATAGACGCAACGAGAAGCAACAAAAACGTAGCCCTGTAATGTAATCTGAAAACTAAGCATACTTTGTTTTCTTTTTGTTTGTATTTAATATATATTTAATATTGTATATTTAAATATTTGTATATTAAATATAAATAATAATGAACTTATTATAAATATACTTATATCTAAAACACATATTTTTTTATTTTTACTTATTTTTAACTAATACGACATATGTGTATCAAGTGTATAACATTTTTAAGTAGACGTTATGTAAAAGCGATAACCAATCAATAATTAAATTTGTATGATAATTAGTGATAAAAGTAAGTTCTTTTACTTGTACAATTCGATTGCGTAAAATGTCAGAGATAATTATAACATAGAGAACACATAGTGTTAGAATGAAGATATCTTACCGATATTGTCAATGGCTACCGAATTTTGATTAACTTTGAATTTGACGTGATCCTTGAGGACCGAGAAAGCAGCGAGCACGGTGCCGGTTGCCATGCCGATCGATTTTCCAGAAACGAAAAGTTAACGTTCCTGTTTGTGTCGCCCGAGCACAATAACTTGCGAAGTCAAGAATTCGCGTTCACGTCGCGCCGTTGATATACGAGCATGTAAATCAGCGACCGTTGAGATATTCGCGAAACTTCGTATTCGATCGCAAAACGCGTCACTCTACATACAGTACCGATCGAGAACATACTGAAAACTCGAAAGCTCAATTTCTCGTTATCAGGAACGATGATTACGCAGCAACCTAGACGTTCCACAAAAGTTGGTATCGAGAGAGGCAGTGTTATTATTGTTAAGACGTTTCCATTCGTTCAGATAAGAGCAGATAGCGTGCACAGTTGACGCGAGAAGACACAGATATAACTGCGAGAGAGTCGAAGAAATAATGAGTTTATAATCTGCAGTATTGGTTTATGATTTTAACGACAATCCTCTTGCGGAGAGTGTGGATGATACATCGACCTATGACCCAATTGGTGTGAATCCGTCATCGCGAAAGAACCCTTAAGTATAGCTACGGATAATTGAAACAATAAGTTTCAATAGGAAAAGTGTTCGTAAGGTATAATGATTTTTCAAGGCGAACTGTTTCTGAAATTGAAAACGATATGGAGATGCACAAAGATGAAAGCGAAATATCAAACTTTTATTAAATGATAAGTATATTTATTTAATTGATCGAAAATTAAGGAATACATATGTTGTATTATTTATTAATATTTATTTAAAAATATGTATTTTTATTATTTATTAATTTGATAGTGAAATATTCTTAAATATTTATGAGATTATATTGTGATGCCTCAAGAGAGTTAATATCTCATAAATATGTAAAACCTGCTTTAATAATTTCTGAATCATAAATTTTAAATTCTATAGTACATATAGCACCGCAAAAATAATATGAAAAATGTAACTTTTTTAACGAAAGGACGCGTTTTGTCAAACAATTATGACTTATGGAATCTCATTCGTGAAATATAGGGTAGCAAAATACTGTACCACACATTTATATATATAACATTTAACTTAATTAATTTATAAACGTATCATTCAGTGTATATATATATATATCATAAGCGGACATTTTATAATTATTTTTGTGAAAAAATCTGTTATCTTTCAATAAAGATTCATTTTTTTATTTAAACAACGCATATAATTGAGTTATTATGGATGATTGCTCTCTCTTCTTGTATGAATTATTCTATCTATTAGTACAATTAAAAGCACATCTTATACATAATAGTTATTCTAAAAGGCTCCATAAACACGCTAGACGCAAAATATAGCGCCGTTAATATTCATTCGGCCTATAATGAGTTCTCGCAAGACAGCGAATCGCTCACAAATTACAGGTGAGTGTCGACAGGAACGGATTCACATTTTACAATATGACAGTCAGTATACATAAAATATGAGGTTGATGATTCCTTGAAACTGGACAAGAAAAATTATTCCGGTTTCCAATACAAAATTGACAAATGTTTTCAAATTTATCTTGTGAAATCTTTTGAAAATTGAGTTATCGGCTACAATTAATATAATTGAATTGTTAAAATTTTTTTATATAGCGATCCTCCTTTTTATATGATTTTTACTTATTAAAAGTTATCATAACGGATTACCAAACATTTTTTCTGTGGCATGTAGAGACACATTTAGCGTAACTATCGCTAAACAAGTCGCTAAACAAACTCGTTAAGCACACTTTCTCGTCAAGTGCTTTCAATTTACGATAATTTGTACGGACATGTTAACTGTTATGAAGTCTCTTGACCCTTTACGTAGAAAACAATAGCATTTCGCCGCATCATACGTGGCTAGCGTTTTTTTAATGTAATCCTATCGCCGTAGAAGGATCCATTTTCTGACGTCCAAGTACATCTTTTGATGTCAAGCCTTATATTCACGATGATGGAAATCGCTCCAAGAGCTCAGATTTTCCTCATCTGAGATCTTGGAGCAACTTCTATCATTTATGGTATTAATTCGCGAATTAATACATCACAATTCGACAATACGATTGGTCAATTTGTCCTCCGTCTGAGATCTCGAAGCGATTTCTAGCATCGCGAACACGAGGCTTCGTAGGAACTCGACGCACAACCATATGCATTCTAAACCTAAGCCTATCTGGTTTCTCCCCGTGCAGCTCCGCCCCTGGACGGATTCGGAATCGGGTGCCGTGTACGGCAAGCGAGCCATCGCCAGCCAAGCTGGACGATGCGATGGAGACCAACTGTGGCGCTTGCTTGCCGTACGCGCGGCACACAACGTAGACTTTGAGCGTCGACGTGGACGGGCGAGGACAGGAACCCTTTCTTTCGAGGACTCGTTCGTTCTGCCAGCGGCTTGACTCGCCGGGGCCAATGGCCGGTCAAAGTCCCACCTTCGACGTTCGCCAGCTCTGCTCCCCTCGTTCTCCTCGCGCGGCCGCTTCGTACTCTTTGCCGATGTAGCGGTCACCCTTGGCGGTCGTCCTCCCATAGCTCGCCGTCCCCTATAGCCTCTCGACGTCCGAACTTCTTACATGTCCGACGCTCATGAAGGGGGGCCGTCAAATCGGAACGGCGCGCTCGCTGCCGACTCTCGTCGTGCGGTCATCTGATTGCCAGACCTGCGTGCGTGGAAACGTCGTTCCGATAAATCCTACCTTGTCGATCAATCAACATTGATCGACTTTCGTAAATGACAAACACGAGACCGATTCATAATCACGCGGGCGCGTGTATTTGGAATAAAATCGAAGCTCGCGATAAAAATCCTTTTCTTCCGAAGAATGATAAGAATGACGTCATGAAGTGACACAATTACATTTAGATTCTCGAGTCTCTTACGCAATGCCTCTATTTCAGAATCAACATTCGAAATTCTCGGAACGAGACTGGATGAACCAAGAGGTTCTGTTAGCGTGCCTTGCACGTTTTGCATTCAGCATCTTCGTGTTCTCTCTTTTCAATGCTCGAATACCTATATATTTGTCTCTTAGTTAGCGCAAACATTTTTTTTTAATTTTAGGCAAACGAACCTAAGGTTTACTTTGTCACAGCGATGTGATTCACGAATGACACTTGGCTCTGGGAATGACAGGAATTCTAGCGTGGCTATAAGTGCCTCCGGATTAGCAACCGACACCTTGTACAAGCTCAGAAATATGTAAGGCATCCAATGGACGTCATACACGGACTCGAGTTACCTTTGTTACTCGCGTATCGTAGGTATACGTGTTTCGTTCCTATGATTCGCTCGTTAATAGCTGGATTTGTAATTGGAGCTCGCTGTACGTACCAGTTGAACGGCACTCGTCAGCTGGAGGCAGGAAATTAAAAGGAACAATCGCGCAATTTCAGTTTTAATTGACGGTCATGGGTGGTGCTGCGACACACACGCAACACGCCACTCCCGTGGACCACACGTCGATTAACGTCGCGAGAATGATTTATTCCCGGAACAAGTGGATTTGTCATCGTGAATAAATAATTATTTTCTACGAGTTAGCCCATTGATCGATGTGGGCCATAAATTAAAATCAGAATATCCAATACGTTATGCCTCCTTCGTCTTCGTTCGCCCCTTTAATTAATACTTCGGATCGGCCGAGCGAGCAAGTCGCCAACGAGCGACGTCGAGCGACGTCGAGCGAACGTACATTTAAGCCGCTTGAGATTAATTTATTAGACTATTTCTGTGCCATATCGCTTCTCTTTGTCTCTCTGAATTTACATCTTCGTTGTTTACTCGCGTCACGTTCCACCACCGCGCGCCGCGAGGATATACGAGAATATATTAATTCATTGCAGTGGCGGATTTACTCGGGGCCCCGAATAACGGTCCCAAATCATCGCGATTTTCTTTTTAATTTTATAATTGTTAGCTGTATGAATGACATATTTTTATTGTGTATCTCTCTTAGCTCCCTTACTTCAAAAGTGACTCAATTAAAAAAACTAAGTTTCTGAGAAAAGGGAACATTATTTGTTGACTTGACAGAAAATTATTAATGTAACTTTCAATGATTAATGAGGTCATATTTTACTAAACTCACATTCATGATAATAATTTGAAAAATTACGTTTTTCTAGTTCGTGTCATTTTTGAAGTAATATAATGACATAATATATAATATTATGTATATAAAACGTAATTTTAATTTATTGTCTTATTAAATAGTATGAGATATTCTATATCTCTCTCCAGCGTGAAACTTGTTCTACTTAGAGCGTCACTACCACAGCAAGAGTTCTCTTTTTCCTTTTTTCTGCCTTTCGTCTCGTTTAAACCTATTAGCAAGTTTTCCTTCTAAGGGAACTTAAAATTCTCCATTAAGGGAACGGCAGGTTCTTTTAAGGCAGAATTCTAAATTCTCCACTAGCGTCGCTAGCCTTACGTCTCCGAATATGAGCGAAATCGGCTCACGTTTCTGCCCGATTCCGAAAATGCTGCTCGTCTAACCGGTCACGTTACACGTGCGATGTAACGTGACCGCCATCGCTTTATTATTCCGATCTAGTCGTTAACGTCAGATTACTGTCTGCTCGCTATGGTATGCGAGTCGGCGCAACGAATCGTCACAGAGATGAACATTTCCTTCGGGATAAATGCAGTCCAGCATGCGTGGAGTCAGCATGTAACGAACGCGTTATTGTGTAACGCGGCTCTCTAATTTGTTAGATGTCGTTGTGTGAATGCCCTTTCATGAACGGTAATGAGTATGACGTCACATCGTATAATTGATACGTAAGGTCTCCAATGCGCAATGGGATGACGTATTAAGATATCTGCAATAACAGCGTATTCCGACTAAGAAAATAAAATAAAAAGATCGGAACGGTATAATAAATGGGTGTACAATATAATGTTCGAGACTGTAATATATAGTATTAGCCTTAATATCCTCTATATTTACGTAGTATTAATAATTGTATTGGTTTTGGTATTGTACTGTATAATATATTGAGTTTAATTATTTCAACAAAATTACTATT